CTTGTCCTCAAGCAAACAAAATAACAAATAGCTCGAAGAGATATATCGAACGGGTCAAAATTAACGAACATGCAAAATGACACTCTAATTATCATTCGGTTATCCCAAAATAAATATTCAATCCGAGACACGGTTCCCACATGATGAATCAAACGAAACAAAAACCCGTCCCAAGTCAATCCACAAATGACCGCTCGAGTCAAACTCCCTCACTCACATGTACGTGCAAAAACCATAGATGATCTACAAAACATGAAATAATAAGCACGAGATCAATAGGCCAACTCCCCGATTTTCTTCTTTTTTTTTTATATATTTTATATATTTTTTTTGAATGAGCCACTTTTTTCCAAATGAAAGCCGTTAGGACGATTATTACCTAGGTTTAACCTCGGGGTTTGTCCCCGAGTCGCCTAGGCCGGTTTCCCGTGCTCGTTGACCCGATCTATCTAAAGATTAACCGAGCCAAGAGGAGCCTAATCCTTTCGACTCTCACGAACTCATTTCGTGAGCTTCTTTTTCCAAACGAGGTTTTTGGACGAGATGATCTAGGTTTGACCTCGAGGGGTTTCCCCGAGTCTCCTAAACCGGTTTCCTGGGCTCATTATCCCAATCCACGAATGACTTGGAATAAGAGGAGCCTAATCCGTACTTCCTCGCGAACTCACTTTTTATTCCTTTTTTTTTTCTAGGGAGAGGCACACAAGGATACATCACAATTCCAATACATGATCATCACAAATCAATCGAAACGTACCACAAGTGTATAGAGAACACGTTTACAACGATAATCGAACATAAGGAAAGCATGCCTCAAGACAACCAATCGAGAACAAACAAAGGACAAAACAATTCCGTTAATCCACATGCGAGTTCCAATGTCAACGAATCATCAATCAATCAAAGGAAACCGTCAAATTCATCAAGTACATCAAGCATGAATGCTAATAGAGAAACCAATCAACAATCTCGACTCACCATTCAGCTATCTCGACTCTCGAACAAACATCAAGTTTCATGCGGGAGAGATGACACAAACACACAAAAACTCAAATAAAACCGGTCCACGACACGACAAAATGAAAAATAAGACACAAAAATGAAGAGAATATCACCTAAACATGCATAATCACGAAATCCTCCCCCCACACTTCAAAAAAAGCAATGTCCTCATTGCTGGACCAAAAAGTATAGGCGAAAGCACATAATCACGTACGTTCATGCGATGAAAATAAAAACGAGACACAATGACAAACAAACAAGACAAAATCACACAAAGACACACAAGAAGCAAATAAAGAAAGTGAAAATAAGAAAAGAAAAGGCGTACTCGACACGGTGGTCGTCACCACCGTGTGTCCAATAGTGGTCGTCCGAAGGGAATAGAGGAGGTCAACCGAAGGCCATTGAGCGCGAAATTAAGCCATCCGAACGGTTTAACGTTTAAGTACTTGAAATGAGAGAGGCTATGTGTGTGTGTCTCGGAGTGATAGTAACCAAGAATGCATAAACTCAACGTAGACACGCGTTCACGTGAAAGCGCAAAAATCGGGCCTCGAAGTCCTTGTCGATTTCCGCCATGGTCCAACACAACGAACTCCATATGTATGCAACGCATAAGCATTTACCGGCGCTTGCCGTAAGTAGGTACCTACAACTCAAACTCCCGACAAAAACACACGTATATGTGGCACGCCCGGCAAGACGTGCCTAATCACACAAGTCTAACCCAATAAACTCAATCCAACTACTCCGACAAGAGTAGTGATCTAAGAACAACGCAGATAATGAAAGTACGGAAATATAAATCGAAATCTAGACGTTGGACTTTGGAAAAATTTTCGAGAAAAATGGTCGCCGAAGTTCGAAAATAGAGAAATATAGAAAAATCGGAGATTCGGTCGCCGGAAAAAGGTACCCAACTAAAGGAATCGATGGCATTTAACATTAAAAGCTCAAAAATACGTACCGGAAACTCGGTGGGTGCTCGTTCGCTGGAAAAAATGGTCGCCGGAAAAGTTCGCCGGATCCGGCGACGGTGGCCGGAAAAATGTGCAGTCCGGCGAGACGAGTCCGGGCATGTCTTTGGATTTCGGTGGGTCCATGCGAGTCACCGGCAATTTGGATTTGAAGGTTGAAGAGATTTGTAGATC